GTGACGCGACGTCAATTCCGGGGAGAAGATGCCGGACCCCTATGCCTATGAATCATCACTAGAACTAGACTGCTTGTACCAATATCGTCTGATTGATCACTATTAGGAGAATGACGCCGCAAAGGACGCAACTTTCAGACACCACACAGCTATCGTCATCCTTGTTTATTACACTGAAACTATTCGGCTCGCCTACAATACTTCTATTCAATCATGCAAGTATTCAATAAGGGTATATTGTGAAGGATGGGGTTCTTGTGACGAAACTACTGGAAGGCTCAAAACACGACAAAACGAGCTGAACCATTTTGTTGTTGTGAATGAAAAATCTAAATCTGATAGAAGATTTTTCACAAACCCTTAAGTTGGGATGAAACAATAAGGAGTTAGTGTTGCGATGGTGTAGAAAATGAACCATAAGACTCCCGGCTGTCAACGAGATGAGTAGTGCGATCAACAGTGATACTCGATAATACGTTGAAGTAACAACGGTAACACCATGCTGAAAAAAATTATGCTCACATCTGTATTTGCTCCTACTTCAAAAGTTTCTGCAAGCCTGTTTACAACAATTGGTGAACAGTTTCACTGGTAAGTCGAGTAAACAACTGATTTGTTAGTCTCAACCACTAGTCGCTGAACTTTTGTAGCGTGGTCTCTGTTGAAAGGTGATCTTCCAAAATTGCCCGATCCAAGTGAACCTCCTCGATCAGACTTCATCCCCATCCTCCAGTACTATTTGAAATGCCCGAATTTGTCAGTTCAAATCTGTTATAGTTGCTCATCGTCTTAACTTCACTGCTGGAGAAGCCTCAGTTTTCCTTGGCCTTCTCGATACTTTCCTGACGTCCATAGAAACCTCTTTTACGCCCCTCCAAAATTTTTCATCCCAATGGAGCCATTCCTCTTAGTTAGTGCAGTGCCATACCCATCACTTTTATAACTAATATTACCTCAACATTGAACAAATTTCCCCTTAATGTAGGGGAAGTATTAAGTGTGGAACACTGATGGGAATGCTGAATTGGAACATGAAAAAAGCACATGAATTCTCCTGTAATGCAATTCTATATTGGCTGTAACAACTGGATTCTGAATTTTAGGGGAAATGTTATTTTGAAATGAAAATTCTGACGTTTTGCCTCTACCTCAATGCAGAACTGTTCGGTGAACTCCCATTTCTGTGACGTCGCCATGGCCAATTCTGAAACAGTGCCTATAATTTTCGGGACTAATCGAATTTATAACAAATCACACAATATTCGTTACAGGTTACTCAAGGTCCACTTTACGAGGGTTGATATGGGTTCCAGTACTAAGCCCTATATTTAAGATCAAGACTATATAAACTGACTTGGTTCAGGAGGCGAATACTGCCGATTACAACGGATGGCAATGGCAAGCAATATGCCGTTCTATCACAAAAAAAAGTTGGTCATTGCTCTTGAAAGTAGTTTATGAGTGCGTTAAGCGAGGACAAATCACCTACTTGGTTAAGTGCCACATTAATTATAATGCATGACGTTGATCACTGATCAAACAGGAAGTGAAAGTTGAAGGTATGGATAACCTATGGATTCTCTGGAATCAGTTTTAGTGCGCTCCTCAAGGCAAACATAATCATAATTCTGATTTGCTTTTCAAATTCTTTCAAATTGGACTTTTCNTGTGAACAAAGCCTCTGTGTCTTTTTCTATTAGGAAATGTCTAGTAGGCTCCGTAAAAGAAGACCCATTGAAAATTCTCCCCCAAATTTCACTACTCATTAGTTCTTTGGTTTGCTTATTCATTTAGTACATATTTGTTTGTTTATTAATCTATGAAGTCAGTCTTTATGCACCTACTCATTTACTTATTTTGAATAATTCTGAATAGCCTACTGGTAAGTATGTAGGTACTTGTAGGTAGTACTGGTAGGTAGTAATTGATTCAAAAATGAAAGAAGAGGAGTACCAGGCGGACTTAACACTTCAAAAACACATTGTTAAGGGATCGAGGCCAAATCTTTGCTTGATTTCTAGTGAACTAGTCGTTTTGAAGGTCTAAAAATCCTCAGTTGAAGTATTTCTTCACTTATGAGCAGCTATATATTAGAATGGCCTGAAAAGGTGTTGGAAAGTCGTCTACTTCGTTAATCATAAGTTGTACCTTTGCTTTTTTAAGTTGATAGACAGAGATTTTCAGCAGTAACTATTTCTTTCGGCGTTTTCGCTTTACTCAGACCCTCGAAAGACGAGAGTTACCCAATTTGCTTGAGCACTATTTCAAATTGGATAGTAAAAATGAGGCACATCCAAAAAAAAAATTCACTTCATTCAGAGCCGAACTTGGCCAATACTGATAAGGCTACATTAATAATGATGTCTTCGTGGAAACGTTAACGATGGCGGGTTCAATTCCTAACTTCAACTCGCTTCCAGATCCACTTCACCTCCTTTCCCTTCTTGCACAACGAAATGGTATCCAAGGAGGTACAAGAGGTCGTTCCGCCTGTTTTGCTTTGGCTTTCTCACTCTCTAAAAAACGTAATTACTGTCGAAAAGCAAGCCGATTAAGTCCGTAGAGTACTTCTCTTGGGAAAAAAAAACCGAACGAGAAAGCCCCCACCAAATTATGTAACTAGCTTTCGGTATGAAAAAATGTAACTAGCTTTGTAGCTAGCCCCCTTGAAAATTGAAACTGACAAGGCTTCTTTTTTTCTGCTATTGTTCCTAATGTAGGTGGAGTGAGTGAAAAAAGTTGTTTATGAATCAAATTACTTTTCAAAAGTCAAATTCGATCAAACCTACTTTTTAGTGCGTATCTGTGGATGGAGAAGGGAGAACAAAAACGAAATGAAAAAAATCTGTTTCCCTGATTCATTTTAGAGTTTTCCTTGAACATTGAACGATCGGTAAATTAGGGTTATCAGTGGTGCTAAGGATAGTAGATGTTTAACAGAAATTTTTTATTTCCAGGACCAAAGTAGCTGCTGTAAAAAGGTTCGCATATGGCATGGCCCCTGGATGCCTGGGAATCACCCCTTCGCAGAAATGGTCGCCAGGTCCATTTCTGGAGGTTGCTCCTCGTCGTGGGGTTCAGGCAACTCTCTTTTTAGGGAGATCAATATCAAAGTCATGGATACATGGAGATTGGATAGCTCTTAAGCTGAGCTTCCACCTTGATATTGCCGATACGAAGTGCAGATACTAAGAATACCCAACTTTTCCGAATCCGGACCAAGGTTTCTCCACTAAAACACTAGATAGTTAGCTTCATAAGCAACATTTTGGAAGAAGGTGATCTCTGTTTTGGCTTGACTTTAGTAAAAGTTTATTAGTAGCAGGTGACATGAGCTCGTCCTGATAGTTAAGGCTAATGGGTCTTCCCTCACGTACATAATAGTTTAATTGAAAGGAACTGATGAGGCATGATGGTTACGATAATAATAGTATGACGAAGTAATGAAGAGTAATGAGGATTTCATGATGCTGCTTATTTGTAAGTAAAATCTCAGACCGCAGAGCTCAATGAATCATTCTGACCCATTCACGTGGGCTATTCCTACAGATTTCAACATAATCTGGGACCCCAGCAAGCCCGCTGGGTGTGTTTTTTGGCACTTTATTATCAAACGGATTGAAAGGAGCTTTGTTCTCTAGGTCGAGTCGGCTCAAAGCAATTTTTAAGAGGTGAACTTTTGTAGATTTCATAGGAGCATCAATAGAATCATGTTCGCCAACCTGATTTTTTGGATTTTTGGAAACATTTTTTTGAGTTTCAAAACTTTTCAACGGAACCAGCATGAAGATCTTTATCAATGTTATCGTTCTCCCAAACACGTTACCCCAGATTGCACAGATAACCTCGACCGGTAACGGTGACCACTTTTCAGAACATTATGAACTGACTGATTCTTTGCAATTGTTATTGAGCAGGTGACATACATATAGTATAGGCCTACATCACCTCCTACCCGCGAGGGAACCAAGAAATTATAAGGTCCCCCTACAGGAGAGTAGATATTGGAAAACCAGAACTTGGAAGCGCAATCTTTAGAAAGCACGCGGTTGATCTAAAGAAAGCGTCTGAACGATCTGCCTTAAAAAATGCTTTAGGAAAAAATTCCCTGTGGTAGCATAGTTAGTGTCCACTATCTTCGATATCTGAATCTCCTGACCCCATTCCAACCCTGCATAGGTGATCTTTCGCTGTCTCAATGAAGGGGCAATGGGGCTGAACCTGCCGGAAATTTCCTTATCATGAGCATGAGCTGCCTGGCAACTGATTGTATGAGTTAACGGTGGATTTAAACATCTTCTTCTTACCCTTTCCCCTCTAGCTGTAAAAGATGATATGCTACATTTATTGAATCTATCACTAGAGAACCGCACGAATCTCGAAGAAGTGAAGCGAGCAATGTTGTTCGTAACATATCTAACGACGTCGGAAGCTGCCATCGTCGAAGAACACGCCACCATCGATCGCGCAATACTTGGGACAGATTCCACGTTCTCCTCCAGATCCAGCAGCACCAGCTCCTCCAGGTGAACCAGGGTTTCCTGGTGGTCCAGGTGGTCCAGGTGGTCCGGGTGGGCCTTTCGGTCCAGGGGTAGCTAAATGACATTATTGCATTACATATTCTTTTAATTAGTAAATCTGTAAAACTTACGAGGACCGCCACCAGTTCCAGGGTGTCCATTTGGTCCGGGAGGACCAGCGGGGCCAGGTGGTCCTGGAGGACCCGGTTGTCCAGCGCCAGCATAGGGAGCTGCTGCATCCTGTCCAGGAGGGCCAGGGGGTCCAGGCGCTCCAGGTTTTCCAGCCGGTCCGGGTGGGCCTTTCGGTCCAGGGGGTCCAGGTGGTGAAGCCCCTGCCGCAGCTGCTGGACCAGGATTTCCAGCTGGACCAGGTGGTCCGGCCGGTCCAGGAGGTCCAGGTGGGCCACCCTGGCAAGGAGGACACGGTGGTGGCGTTACAGGTTCGCAAGGCATCGCTGGAGGACGTCCGGGGTGACCAGGCATTCCAGGAGCTCCTGGAGCACCAGGTCTGCCTGGTCTTCCAGCAGGTCCCGGTGGACCTGGGGGTCCTGGCAGACAGCACTGATCGCACAGGCCACCGGCTTGACGGCGTGTACGATTTGAAGGCGGAGCGTTTTGAATGTAATTCACCTCATCCCAGATATCACGAGCCGATCCCTACAACAATGAGTGCATATTAAAATGAAGAATATCGTGGTGAACAAAATTGTATGAGCAGAAACTTACTCTACAGTACTTGATATCATTTCTTAGAGACTTCTTGACGTGGTGGATGTAACTGTAGACCATGGGCAATGTGAGGCATATCGACAACACCGCTATCACCGAAAACACTACCGCCGTATAGGCGACGAAGCGATAGGCAGCCAAACGAGGTTTGAGATCCTCCATGGCTGCTGCTGGGTGAACCTGCGGTCTACGGTTACGATTGGCCTTATATGGCGTTTCCCTGCGGTGCCTGTTGAACACCCACCTCTCCACTAACTTCTAAATATTTGCGTAAGAAACCATCGGTCACAGTCACGCTGCCAGTGCTAAGTCGTCATTTTTTTGTCGCCAATGTAAGTCAGCAGAATAGGCAGACAATTACTGAAGTCAGTAGCACCGAAGGCGAGGTCTAGCGAATTGTTTTATCCTTTTTATGTATGGCAATCGATTTTACAGTGTGGCTAGTGGCGTCGCAACAAAAAAAGGACAAATGGCCTTCAAACGCTCATTATGAACTTTCTCGTGTAAGAAGTTTTGCGGATGCAGTTATTTTCTTTTGATTCGACAATGATCAACAAAAGAGACTCCATTAAGTGGTTGAAGTAAAACCTTTTCAATCTAATTGCTGTAATACTCGTCTGAGATTCTCAGTTTGAAGTTTGAACTCGCTTTAGAATGCGCCACACGACCAACTTCGTTTTGGACTCATGGTCATAGTTGGAAATGTACCTAGCTCATGCATGGGAAATGGAAGCGAGAGTATGTTCCGAATGTCACTTCTCTAGACGAATTCACTTCGATAGTCTGTGGTCATCTTTCTCAAAGGATTCTACCCCCAAATCATACCGGTCGGAATGTTGTTTTCGGAATAAAACCCTAGGATCTGGCTAGTGGCACCTTAACCGGGGTGGCTAGGCACTCTAGGCATTACAGCTTATGGGTCAGGCTATAAACTTTCCGGCCGATCTGGGTAAACCATTCGGTCTTGAGGTCCGAGTGATGCATTTTATCCCATAACCTGGACCACAAGTTCCTAATGGCCCGAATAATAGAGAATGGTAGAGACCCATTCACGGAAAATGGTATCGCTGTAGGTTTTCCTGTAAGTACGACCTTCATTTCTTTAGGTAGGATGCGTCGTCCAGCGGTTTGCCATTTAGAAGCGTAATGTTCGAAGATCGTGCCCTGTACGTACTGATTCTACCAAATTATCAAATGATTCCGAGCTTCAAAAGTCTAGCATTCCATACTGTGCAGGAAGATGTCGTTTCCTATTCACCTGCTCTATGAACGCTTACTTCAGCGAACATTTTTGGAGCTATAACTGTTTTTTCTCTCTTGCCGGGTAGATGATAGATAATATCGAGCCCCAATGTTGCACTCTTCGAATTCGCCCATCAACAATTTTGCCCGGCCTCTCCTCTAGTGGAATTCTCTTTCATACTGTCTCACTTCACAGGCCTCGACCCGCTGATTTTTTGCATTTTGGCGCAAAGTGATCTGATATGTTCAGGTGACGATGAAAATGAAAACCGTTGAAATTTGTCGGGAACCGAACAATTTCATCAGCTGTGCATCACGAAAGGTTTGCCAAGTCTGATAAATTGGAGGATTCCCTGTTGGTCCTTCGAGCATGATATAGGGGGCCTACAAATGAGGTCTTTACAAATTCCTATGTCTCATGAAGCAAAAAAATCCTAGCAAAAAATCAGCAGAACTATTTCAATCGTCTAAATACTGGTCTCAAGATGAACTCATTCTCGAAGCTTTGTTCGAGCTCCTCTACCCACTGGACTGGACAGCTTCAACTGCTCAAAGGGAAAGACACATGTCTGTCTCGACTCACTGTTACCCTTACCATCAATGCACAAAAGGATATCATCATTTTTCTCTCGTAAGGGTAGGTGGTCACCCGCAGCCGAAAGGCTCTGTGGTAGAGCTATGCTTCCAAGCTTGAGCATCATAGACCCACTTCGAGGTCATGTTGGACTGTTGGTGAAAAGAATTTGGACACGTCATTTTTGATGCATCGCTATCCAACTGCTGTAGGGCTNNNNTACCCTTACCATCAATGCACAAAAGGATATCACCATTGTTCTCTCGTACGAGTAGGTGATCACCCGTAGCCGAAAGACTCTGTGGTAAAGCCATGCTTTCAAGCTCGAGCATCATAGACCCACTTCGAGGTCATGTTGGACTGTTGGCTAAAAGAATTCAGACACGTCATTTTTGATGCATCGCTATCCAACTGCTGTAGGGCTGAACTTCTTGAGTGGCCGTGTTTCTGCTGTGTGATCGGGATTTCAGATTTTTAGTTTTCAGTACCTGTTAGCTGTGTATTTTCCCTATTTTCCCATGAAAGAAGCGTATCATCTTGATCCCTTGAAATATCGAGCTGTTTTGATTAATAAAAAAAATTCAGCCAATCATGTCGTCATATTTTGTAAGATTCATGCGAAATGCACAATAAATTGAAACCAGTTATATTTCCTGTCTGGTTGATAGTCCTCTTACATATTTCTGACGTCCTCGCCATATACAGTCAGAATTGATAGCATAACTGAATGTCGAACTCGATACTGAACCTGTTTCCTTTGCCCAATGTTCAATGTTCAGCCAAGAATTAAGGCGAAAAAAGACAAAAAATGCTCTAAAAAGGCTATCAAATAGACTACAGCAAAACATAACGATTTAATTGTTTTGCGATTAATTTTACTCGCGCAAAAAGCCAGAACGACCTCAGTCACAGTGGCTAGATCGCTTGTTTATGTTCGCGCTATATAAGGAACAATAAGTTGATCGCAGAGGCCTCCCGAGATGATTCAATCCTTCTATGGGATACGCCCGGCACTGGACTCTTACTCAGAGTTTCGGGAGAGCCTACATGCCTACCATTCTTTTGTAGAGACCTGTAAACCACTTAATGCACTATACAAAACTCCAAGGCCGCTCTGGTGCCATTTAATCCGTTTCATAGGGTCTGGGGTCCCATGAAAAATCGATCCGACAGCCGATTTTTTCAGTATAAGGGGTAGGGACGCTTTAAATATGGTACCACTTCTTCGAAATTCTTCCAAATACAGCAATCAAGTATTATAGAAGGAAGTGATGAAAGTTCTGCAAAAGGCTCATCGGTCAGGGAAAGAGATCATAAAAAGAAGCTTTCTCAGGCAAAGTACATTTGGTGAACTTTCCTAATCTCAAAATAGTGTAATCGGATACTTGTCCCATAAAACAATTGTTTGAACCATTCTTCGGTGAGATCGTAGTGATCCTAATCATGGGCCAAGGGTAAAATGTGAAGAATCATGAAGGACTCCCATAACCATCGAAGATCATCGTGAAATATCTTAATCTTCGTGTTTTTTTTTNTCCCATAAAACAATCGTTTGAACCATTCTTCAGTGAGATCGTAGTGGGCCTAATCATGGGCCAAGGGTAAAATCTGAAGAATCTTGAAGGACTCCCATAGCCATCGAAGATCATCGTGAAATATCTTAATCTTCGTGTTTTTTTTTCATGGCGCCCTCTCGAGGGAGCAGAAATTGGAAATAACGAGTCGGCACTGTCTTTACTGTTGGATCCTTGGCTAAAAAGATATCCTCGAGCATCTCTTTTGTCCCCTCCTCACCAGTGGCTTCGTCATAGGCGCTCAAGGAACTCTGGGAAGTTGACAGAAAGCCGATATTGAGAAAATACGGAGGTGAGTGTGAGGAAAAATGGTTTCCATGAACTAGTACAGCAAAGTCACATTTTAGACATTAACTCATGTTCTTTCCTTCGGTGACAACGGTGCTACCTACTTGGCGAAGTGAAGTAGTTTTTTAATCGAATTATTATTCATCAATAAATTATCCCCTCAAAACTGGTTGCTTCGGAAAAAACAGAAATCCAAAAAAGGCCTTTTTCGTGCGAAGCACTTAACTTCTTTTTCTTTCCACTCGAGATGGGGAATTCCAGGAACAACCTCACTTGAAGGTTCGTCGTCACCAACATGTCACCGAAGAAACGAAGAAACTAGCCTACCATTGTTTGTCCCAAGTGGCATTCCTGCAGTCAATTGCTATAAGCCACAGCGTAGAAGGAAAAAGCATGAGGGGCAAGAATCACTGGATTACTGTGTAGCCCAGGTCTCCGATTACTGCAGTCCTACTCCATAGGGTTATTCAACGGATGCTATAAACCAGTGGCATAGTTGGGTGACCTAAAGTATCAGAAATTTGTATTGTACCTATCACTCAGAGTGGGTAGTTTCTGAATACATGGCGTATCCATACTTGAAATGTTCAACGACAAGAGCAGCATTATTTGGATTCGCTTTTCGAATGTAAAAAGTACTAGTCAATTACCTCTTCTTCGTCACAATGTTCTTCAATAAGTTTTTGTGAACACTTTACAAACGTGAAGGTCACAGCTAGTGAGAAACGTAGACTTTGAGAAAATCAGAAAACCATGCGCGGGAAAGGCGGGGGAACGAGACGGCATACTAAACTCTTACCAAATTGTAGGGGAACCTCTATTGGAACCAGTGCATTAATAATTATGCACTACTGTACTGTACCCATTTGGATTCCACTGAGTAAATACGAATTGAAATCAAGTCGACTGATTCGCTCTTGGAGTACGACGACCGAAAACTTTCACTGAAGGATAATGTTTCACTTGGAAGTTTGACATATCGGCGTGGTATCTTACGATACTACCCCATGGGAACGGAGTGCTTTCATTCCCGACTGATTGGTATTGTTTGAGCAGAAGTACCTGCTTGTCGTAGAATAAGCTAGACAAGCCACAGGAAGTTGATCATCAGACAATTGGAATATATCCGAAGAGGGGGTATGGGAACGAACGTAAACGACAGTTTGATGGTGCAGTAGGTAAGTAGCCGGTCAACACACTAAGGGTTACGCGCTCCCACTCGTCTTCCAGTATGGGAAAACGCTTTAGTATACATTTTAACAATCCCATGTGAAAATTGGAATCATTAACAATCTCTCCAGATCCGTCCATTCCATCTTCCTTTTGTTCAACTTGAGTGTTTCAGATAGAGGTTTTGTCTGAGATTTTGGGTAACTAATTGAATAGAGGAATTCCTGATACAATCTTCACCCTGTCTTTAAGTTCCTTTTCAACTCAGGATATTCCGAAGGATATATCATTGATTTTATAGGTGTATTCCGGATGAATAATGACCGTATATGTATGACCAGTTGTGGGAGATTGGGGATAGGCGAGGAAGGTCGTGAATTCAGATCTCAGTGTTTTGAAGTTGAAAGCCCGCGTGCCAATCTGTGGGTCGGGTACGTTCTCCCTGAAAACGANGTCACACTCGCCGCACCCGAGCACGCGAGCATTCGCGCGCTGTGAAGGGGAAGGTTTGAACTTTCAGTGGAAGAAATGGGTAGCCACCGCGTGACCTTAGCCGCTGCTGTGGGAATTCGGTTAGAAGTTCCTTCACCCCCAATACTGTCTGTTTATACTCATTTTCAGCCAGCTGAGCTTTTCTTTGAGCCTATCTAGGGATGAAGCGCTCTCGTCGGCAGCATTTGATAAAAACTCTGCCCAAAATACGAAGAGGGCAGGTGGTCGAGCTGGATGTTTACGTCTCATAAACCGTAGCACTTTTCCGCCCAATCTCGCATTATGACAAAAATGCCATCGAATTTCTGTTAAGAGTGTTTTTCAGATTTTGATTTCCAATGTGTTGAAAGTGGAAACGATTAGGTTTTCATGTAGAAATGAGAAAAATGTGGTACTATGTGGAACTGAAGCGTTTCTTTCATTAACGACTTAACATAACGACGTGTTGGGCAATAACTTACAGAAGTGATGTTTTCCAGTATGACCATTCGACACACTCGATTTCAAGTATGAGTTTCGTTCCATTTCGAAGTAAAGGGATACAGCACAACAATGACAGATCATATATTTTCTACGAAATAGTTCGGGACTGGAAAAAATGACCTTTTTCGAGATTCAGCTATTAGCCTGTGTAACTGGTTGCGTGTTCTTCCAAAACTGGATTTTTCCGCAGGAACTCTAAGGTCATCGGGTGAGTTCAGGCTCATGTTCATAAATCGAAGGCGCTGGAAAACATGTCAAGCACTAAATAGAGATCGTAAGTGAAGACCGGGATTTGATTTTGAACCTTTTCTTCACTAGTAACTATTTACTTCGTCAACAAAATCGTCCTTCTCATCTTCAGGAAATCCTCTTATGTATGCCCAAATTTCCAAGTAGTAATGAAGATAAAAGCAAAACAGCTCCAGTTATTTAGAAGGAAGGAACCTCAAACGATGAATAATTTATTTAAAAACATAGAAAATTTGCAAAGAAATACAAGTCTGTGGTGATAACAATGACGGAAACTCTAATGGAATAGCAGCTTTAGATAAAAACGACTCTGCTGGGCAGTAAAAGCTGATCGTCTAGATGTGACATACATTCTAATTAAGGGAATTATTACATTCGGTAGTGTAAGGGATAAGAGCACGGTCCCCGGAAAGGACAAGT